CTGTGGACCAGAGGGGGATTTGTTCTCTTAGCGAACGTGTTTGTTCCCTCATCTAACGCTTTGTTCCCGCAACTATATTTCGGTTCCAATGACTAAATGTTGGCTTTTGAAACAAAAACCAGTTGGTCATCGCATAATTAACTAAAATGTTAGTTCAGGGAAGTAATCCCTTTCTTCCGTGTATGCCGTACATGCGGTTGGCACGTATCACAGCACCCGTGAGAGCTACAAAAAAAAGTTGATAGGTGTACCAAGTGCACACTTGAAAAATGGTACATACCTTGAAACCATGTTGGGGTATACCGAACTGGTTAAATACTGGAAAGATGAGGCGTTCACCAAAGGGACGTGCTCAACCACGCAATCATGGGCGCCGAAGTCACCGCAACGTTTTGAAGCACTTATTGATGGTGTCATGCCGACGAGGGATACGGATATTGTTCTCGTACCGGCAGGCTTCTGAGAATAGGAGAAATGTTCAAGACACGACATACATGTTGACACACTACAGCTACTTAATTTTATAGTTCATTTAGTTACACTAAAAAACTGCCATGAGCGAAGACAGCCTATTCTAGCTAAAGAGTGACGTGATCAATTGAAGCTCAAATGTTATAGTTTGTCTTGATCAAAATGTTATTTTAGTTGATTTGTAAAGGTGTTGTTCTCTAGTACACAACAAAATATCTAGGGTACAACTGTAATTGCAGAGGCATTAAAGCTCACAAATTTTTACTGTGGTCCTCTTTCATTATGCACTGTGCGACTTTTCTTCTCTTGGAGAGTGAGTGTTATTCATGTGCACAGCATTAGAAAAATTTCAAATGAAGTCCAAAGACCCGTCAGGTTATCTTTCTTTTACATTTACAGAGTGAAGCAGTTATAAGGGCTGTAATCCTCTTAGTCATAATAATTGGATGTGATACATTTTAACCTGTTCAATGTTGAATCATGTTAACACTGGAACACGATCGTGTAGGGGATAACCTGGTGGGTTTCCTGTTCCCGGTGGGGTTTTTATTCAACCGGGTCCAACTATTACAGCTAGTTGGCTGAGGGATTAGCAAAGCCCATTACTCCACTGACCGAGAAAGCTTCATTCTGTTTGTCAGTATGCACGATAACTCCAGACGGAATTGAGAAAGCGATCTGGGAATTTCAGGGTCATTTGGTATCATAAAAAGACGGATCGAGCTCGAGGATAAGCTTTCTAGCTCAAAAATTGACTTAAAAAAAAAAAATTAGAAACCACAGATTGAAAAATTATTTTTTATCGAATATTTTTTTATTGGCTTCTTAGGGCTAGCTAACTCGTTAGAGTAGAGCCCTTTAGACGAAAATTTCTTCCGATTTGCTCTACCGCGCACTGTGTGGGTGCTAGAGATCATTTCTTGACGAAAACAAGGTGAAAATGACCAAATGGTCTCTTAAATCGTAGAAAAGGCTTCATATCGAAAAATAGAGTGTTCTAGGCCATGTAAAACGGAGGTGGAATAGATCAAACACTGATTTTTAGCCCGCCCTTCTGCTTTTTAAAGCATTAAAGCGGGCTTATGCAACTGCTCTCGTGTCCGTCTGTCCGTCGTCCGTGTAAAAGGAAGGAGCTGAGCTAGAGGTCTGCAAATTTCAGGGTATCTTATCGCCCTTCTGCTTTTAAAAAAGCATTAAAGCGGGCTGATGCAACCGCTCTCGTGTCCTGCGCTAGAGGTCTAAAAATACCGTGCTCGAGCGTCTGCTCGACCACAACAAGTTGCCGGTGACACAAGTTTGCATTTAGTGTTTCTTAATTACTGGACGTCGTTTGGCGAACATATTATTGGATATTATGATGTACCATAACCCCTTCCAACTATAACAGTTGATATTTCATCTCAGAGGTAAGTCGATTACATGTTTGAACGAAAACAATGTCAGAGGTTGCACTCGAGGTTATCCACCGTCGCGTAAAAGTAACAAATTTTAACTTCATCGGCAGTATTGTTGAAGAAAGACTCGTACGGCGCCGGAAAGCCCATGAAACGCGCCTCAGGATAGGATACTTCTTGTTTTGCCGCAAATCACGCGAGTATTATTAAAATGTAAAATAAGCTGCCGAATCCAAAATGGCTGCCGATCTCACATCAGCTTATTTACATAAATTGTAGGATATATTTTGATCAGACCGAATGGACACCTATCCTATTCGAAAGCTAGTTTAGTAATCTTGTTAGTTACGCACTCGTTCAACAATGCAATTGACTGGCTTACGTGAAAATTTGTTTTGTTTGCGCTCCGGCGGGGCCTCCGAGTGATCTGTTGGTTCACTATAATCAAATTATCTCGGCCAAATGAAACCGGAGGTGGATTGTAAAGGTACCTCGGTAAAGTTCGAACTCTGCCCTTTCACGCGATACCACTCATGCGGTTGGTCAAAATATCAAACAGCTTCAAAAAGTGCGGAAAAGACATGCGTGTGCTCGACCGGCTGGCGTGCAGCCGGGGACGCGCATGGTGTGCGGCCTGAGCGCTCCGTTTCTACCCCCTGTAAAGACGTACAAGGAGGCGTCCAATCGTAAAATGTCAGAGGAAGTACCCCCCCAAAACAACACATTCTGAAACGGGTCCTACCCTCGGATTTGCCG